TCCAATCCCACCCAGAATAAACAGTTGAAATAAGCATCTTTTACACACATTACCAAAAATATGGGTTACATCACAGTAAATATGTCAGTTCCAATAAGATTCAAAAATTGCAGCATTTGGAAATGCATCATTCATATATTTCCAATAAGTCTAAATGTGAATACTCTCAGATCTCCCGATCCTGTAGCTCACACTGGAGGTTGTTAGAGGGCCGTAGTATATGAGATACTGGCCATGGGACTGAGAAAGAGGAGGCTTCATGCTGAGAATGCCGAAACACATCCCTGGAGACCTGCTAGGGCTTATATTCTCTATACAAACAGTACCTAAAATGTTTTCCTCCTGTTATAGCCAATATCTTAATATTTGACAGTATATTCGAATGTGTATAATAAAACCTGTAGATAATAAAAGTCTATCGAAGGATGTAGAGCTGTGATTATGTTCTGTGATGCACAGCGTAAGCGGCCTTGCTGTGACATTAGTGTGAGGGTGACAGGGTTTAGGGGCTATAAGCAAGGCTTGAGTTTGGCCATGGTCTACCTTGAAAACGAAATTTATCATAAGGGTCTTTTTGTAAAAAAAACAATAAATAAAGAAAAGTATACTGTAAACACAACAACAGTAACACACATGGCCAATGTCAATGTATATTACTTATACCATTACCTCTTTTTTCTTTCTATACGAGAACTGAAGCTTTATTCTTTCATGTTTTGTCTTTTAAAATGCTAGATTTCCCTTTGTCAAATTGTGTGGATAGTTTAGGTGTAAATATGAATTTGTTTATTTATTTGGTAATATTTTCACCTCTCTCTTTATTTTGAGAAGAAGTAAAGCAATAAAATGAGCCTTTTTCATTTGAATTGAATTGAATTTTGTTTTAGTCAGTTTTAGTATATTAAGACATGTGACACTGCATATGTTTATGTGGAGAAGTGTATTATATTACATACAATGATGGTAACATATTACCTCACTGAATACTTTCAAGGCTCTCCTTGCACCCTAATTCCTTTTTTATTCCCCAGAGAAAGGGGAGATTACTTTGTATGAGTTCATAAGGAAATATGTGACAGCATTGAGACACCTGGGTTGCCTTGAGGAGATCAATAGAAATATTACAGAATCGTGTGTAGGAGAGAATAAAGTGCAAGTCGTGCTCATTACTGCCCTTGGATCTGGCTCTAATCCTGCGTCTGTGATTCACAGGTGAGAAAGGATCGATGGTGGACGCTGCAATGTGAATGAGTGCTAATGAAAACACAAGTGCAGCACGTGGAGCGCATGTGGATTTTCAGTAGCCTTAGCGGACAGATGGGTAGTATGACAATGACATGGATGCAGCTCAAATAGTAAGAACAGAATTTACAATGTGTGTATTTTTAATTTGATGTAAATTTTGGTTAAACTTATACACAGTTCAACAATGGTAAATTAACGGCTGTGTACCGGATTTTTTTCTCATGGATTTGAACAAAATTTGCCCTTGAGGTGCTCTCCTCATCTAATTAGAAAGAATTTTATTTGATATTCACGAACTGCTGTAAGGTTTACAATGAAAACAAAACTGGTCTCCGAGTTGTGAAATATCTTATAAACTCATTGTGGTGAATAATTAGGTTGCTTTGAATGCAAAAGACAAATTCAGAATAACTTTGGACTATTGCAAACTGTTTATAATTTAAGAGTAAAAATAAGGTACAGCGCTTAAAGTCTCCACGTTTCCTTGATTCTGTCTGTGTCCCAATGCAACTGCACAAGCACAACAAATGTGCCCTCCTTCAGATTATGTTAAATGTCCCTTTTGTGCTGATTCCCTCCTCTTACTTTATATAAACAGAACAATATCCTTAAATTCGAGACATAACTACAATGGGAATTAGCACCTGCTTGATGAAGGTACAGTGTAATTTTGTTGTTGTTGCATACAGTCTTCAGAGAAAAATATGGGGACAATTTGTGATATAATTACCCCAACCTGTAGCAGTGGTGGCTTGCACATCTTGGCTGTAATTTCGGTTAAGTAGTACATCCATGTGATTACTTGGCAGTCATTAGCTAACAGGACACAGCACACTAATGCCATTAGCGCTAACAAGCTCAGTGCTGTTGTGCATTATAATTGGCATATATCTGTCATTTGATAACTGGGAACCAAGTCGCTTAGCTGAAATTCTTGTTGTAATTCTGAAAATACTGAGGGAGCTTTGGTTCGATAGACCTTTGCCTCTGCATCTTGAGCTATATTCCAAATTGTTTACTGCTGAGAAATATTCTTACACCAGACACTCTCATGGTGAATTGTTATTTTAAAAACACATTGCTTTCTTGGGAGAAAAAAAAAACAACAACAACTATGACATAAGCACTTCAGAAAATTAAGGATAGGCACTAAAAGCACAGACTACACTTTATTTCCTGTGGCAAAATTTCAAGTCCTCACAAATGACTTGCCTAAATGAGACAATATACAGGGCCTTGATAAATGGCTGCCAGTTGGTGTATGTGTTTGTGTGTTTTATGATGCCACCTGGGCTACACTCTGCTCAGCCCATGCAGAGAGCTATTTGTAAGGCTGACATTTTAAAAGATAGCAGATTCTAAAATAAACAAAGGCAAATGCAGCTGTGAAAATTACAGTGACTGGAAGCATCTCGTTGCTGACTTAGTAAATATTGAACAGGGCATGTCAACTTTTCGGACAAGGGAATTGTCTGCATAACTAAAACACTTTCTAAAAACTGTCTAAAATGTGAACTCTGAGAAGTATTCTTTTTGATAACCAGTTTCAATTTAGTTTTAATCCTATCCTTCTCAAATATTCTGGTTGCGCTCAGGATAAAGATCGGAGTCATGCACACACCATAGAGTTCTCAGTTAGCCTAATATTAAACCAGTGAAGGTTTTCTGAATACTAAACTGAACATTCATTCAAAAGAATTCAGTGTACTAAATATATAGCTGATCATTCTATGGCTCTTTTGTTTAGATTTAAATAAAAAAAGCCCACTCTAGTTCTCCCTGTGTTTGGGTGGGTTTCCTCTGGGCACTTCAGCACACCCAAAGCCTCAAGCCAAAGCATACACCATAGGCTGAAGGATGGGTAAAATGCAGAGGACAGGTTTCCCTACAGCGATAGTGAAGTTTATATTAACCTTAACCTTAGAGTAAAAAAGTAGACATGCAAACTCTGCACAGAAAGGCCCGGATGACACGGGAATTTAACCCAGAACCTTCTTGCTGTGAAGCATAAGTACCAACCATACCTAATCTAGTATCTTTGCTCTGCTTTACAGCCCCTCCACCTCTTGCTCTTTGGACATTAATTCTGTGATTGAAAATACATTTAAATAGATGTGTCATATCCATCATAGTTTATATCCTCACTGTTTACTGTTCATGATTTTTAATGAATGAACAGTCTGTTAGCAGGTGCTTAGGAACTGGTATGGTGCTACATTCTGACACAGTCTACAACACAGACCACATGGCCAGCACTTTTAATTACTTGTTTACATGTACATGGCAAAGTGTTGGCATGCCCATTTAGCAACATGTAACACTAGCTGTTTGGATACCCTAGAGTCATAATACAAAATAATACTGGTGAAACTGAACCCTGAAGTTGTTAGTAGACATAGTACTACTTAGCAGCAACAGAGCAAAGGAAAGTTTCATAAGATTAATGTATTTTGAATATACTATAGGCAGTAATGAATTCATCATTGGTTATTTATGGTGAAAGCTATTATGTATAGTAACTTCAATGTCTCACCCTGTTTCAAGCTAAAAGTTTAACACTTAGAAGCGAGGCAGTGGTCATGATTTATTGAGATATTTCATTTATTTAATTCTTTTGCTCCTCTGCATTCCCAAGAACACGAATAACTCACTGTACAAATGTGCACACAGCATCTATTGTATATTTTCAGTACTAGTGAAATGTGTTTTGCACCAGTTGCGGTCCATTACAGATGATCATGTTATTTCACAATTGTAGGTGAAGTTTTTTAGGGTATGAATGAATTTTATAATTGTGCCCTTTGTTGTCAGAAAAGTGCTGGTGCAGCCAATGGGCATATTCATATTAAAACTGGGATACCTGACACTTACACGAAAAGTGAAAGTAGGTATTTATAAATATAAACCATTCCCTAGCTCTAACAAACCCACATTACAAGCATGGTTTTCTTAGTCCACAGTTTTTTTCACTCTGAGAGGTGAAGAAGGATGGTCATTCTGTCACCTTTCAAGTTTCTGATCTGTAAAATATTTTAGTTAGATGAACACAGTGTGCAGTTGTCTAATTTTAGTCAGAAAATCCTGTAATTTAGTATCAATAACTTTTTTTTTTTTTTCACCGTGATTCATCATTCCTGCAGTCATACTGCCTGTAGAAATTTACAGGGAGAGTTGAGAATCTCAGTAATAGTCCAGTGCAGCGTTGCAAAGCTGTGAACAGGAGCACGCTCCCAGCACCTGTCTCCATGTTGTCAGTGGTGAGCTCAAGGCTGCATTTTGCAAAGCAAAGAGGCCTGATATGGGGGTCGCTCTACAGACAGCAGCTGGCCCTGAGCACAATAACATGCTCACACATTCACACTGGCTATTGTGGGAGAGAGAATGGAGGCAAATCTCTTCTAATTTTAGACAGAACAAATCCTATTGTTTTCTGTAATCACAACAATACATATGAAATATATTCATCAAAATATAGGTTCAGACATTGCTGCAAAAATCATTCTATATCATAAACAGCTGGTTGTGCATTATAGTTTGTTTTTATGCAAAGATTAAATTTGTGAAATGTAAATGTGTGTTCAAACCTGTACTACTGATAAAATGTATACACGTGTTTTTAAAGTATTTTACTGCTGACTGAACTAACTTTAAAGGTGTACTGTGTACTACTTTGCTGGGAATCTCTCACAGTATGGCATCAAAACACTTTACATGAATAGAAATGGCAAAACTAAATAGAGATCAATGACACGATATTTTCCCAAAGTATTTATTGTTTATTTTGTTTTGCCTGGTGCGTTTTTGATTTCGTGATAGCTATATAATTTCAGTCCCAATTTTCCCTTCTCCAAACCCATCCGATGCCATCCAAGTGGTTAAGTCCAGTGGCTCTGTTTCCCATCTAACCAGAGAGAATATGCTTAACAAAAGAGGCGTAGTTAATGCACCCGTTTGCGTCCTCCTGTCCCGCCATCAGCCTGTCCACCTCGTCCTCTGTCATCCTCTCTCCCAGCGTCGCCAGGACATGCCTCAACTCCGCTCCCATGATGGTTCCATTGCCCTCCTTGTCAAAAACCCTTAGCCCCTCTACAAAATCCTCAAAATTCCCCTGATCTTTCGCTCTGGAGATGTGCTGGAGCATGGGCAAGAAGGTCTCAAAGTCCACCATTTTTGTGCTCATATCTTCTGGCCTTGGCTTCCCCAGCACTTTGAGCACATCCGCGTTGGTTGGGTTCTGTCCCAAAGCTCTCATCACGTCCCCGCACTGTCCAAAGGTGATTTTCATCTCCCCCGTTGGTGTGCGGTCAAACAAAGTAAAAGCCTCTTTGAACTCCTCTATCTGGTCCGGAGTGTACTCAATGGTGATGCTTTCGGGTCAAAATCCGGTTCTTTAGGGGGTTCGGGCTCAGGCTCGGGGACTGGTGCGGGTTTTGTAGCAGGTGGAGTTGCTTCTTTCTTGGGCTCTGGTTTTTTAGGCTCTGGCTTTTTGGGTTCAACCTTCTTTGGTGCCATGTTTCTATGGGGTCGGGGAGGTGAGTCAGGGCTTGTTGCAGGAGAAGAATCAAGAGGAGAGACAGGAGGGATTGAAAGTGATTCCCGAGCACATAGGTCCACCCGCCTTGTACAAAGCTTTTATATGCACGTTGTCCGGGGAGCCCCAATAGTCATTTCCAGCAGCTCACTATAAAAGGAAGAAACCAGAAATAGATCCTTATAGCAAGTGATGTCAACATTAAGTATTGTTCTCAGCTGCTGTCATGTAGCTGGCAGGGTTATTTGCTGTCATTAGTGGGGGTCCAGTTGCATTAAGGCAAAAATGCAGTGTGTCTCTAATGGACAAAGGGATCAGTGGCGGTAACAACCCCTGAGAGGCCAAGCACTGAAATAGCTTAAGTCACAAACAGGTGAAAGTCTGATTATCACTGTTCTGTGGACCTCCTACAGGATAGCGTTAACATACTTAAATGACCTAACAACTCACTAATAAGGTCACCCACAAAAAGACTAACACATTTATAAATTACAGGCCATTTTAAGGCCCGATGTTACACAAAATTGACTCTTGTGAGCGTTTAGCCATGCTGTTACTTCCACAAAAACATACCAGGCGTTTTGCTTTGTTTTTCATTCACATGTTTGCGTAATCCTGTAGTATTAGTCTGTCTACATCACTCTCTGCTCTGTTCCACCTTGTGATGTCATGACGCGGTAGTTTTCAAGTTAGAGTAATCTTTTACTTTTAGCTCAGTAGAGATTGGTAATTCCAGGGTTGAAATCATCCAAATAATTCTAGTGGATATGTATGGAGTTTAAAGACACAGTGGAGCATTTCCTGTATTACCACATGACAGCAAAAGTTGGAACAGAGTGTTTTCTGTTTGAGAGAAGAACTCATATACAGGGTCTGTGTGTTTAAAATATGGGAATGAAACAAAATACAAAACTCCCAGGTATGTTTGTGATGACGAAACGACATTATAACATAGATCAGAAAATAGCGCAATATGGGCACTTTAACATGCTGTCGTAAACAAGGAAAACACACAAACAATATGATATTATGATATTAGCAGTATCAGCAGTGATAAATGTGATACTTGTTGTACTTTTTGAACTACTATACACTAATTGATGACATGCAACTGTCTCATTGGAATGTTACATAGTATGACATTAAACATATGTATTTGTATTCATGTAATTATGTTTTTAAAATTATTATTACTTTTTTAAATTTATTATTACTCAAATTTATCTTAATGCATCATGTATTCTTCCTGTGTGTGGTTTGCCTGTCCATGGATCTGAACTTTAACTAGGCTTATTGGTGTCATCAGTTTGTCTCCGTGGAGATAGATATGTTGATTGCTTTATTATGGAATGTTTCAGAGAAACCATGGAGGCAAGATGGCAGGCGCTCCATAAGAAAAGCCACATAGTGCACCTTTATATGTTCTGTGCTACTTCACATTTTCAGTGCAATATACCCATCACTTTGACCATATGAAGTGGTTCTATTATTAAAAGCATCCCTTGTCACTTATCTGACTGGCCAGAACCACACGCTCTGACAAAACTTTACGAAGACGAGTGGATCTGGAGGCATATCATATATCCCTGATTTCAGAGAGTGTGATTGACAGACAGATTAATCTATCAGAGAGATGCATGATCCGTTCACACCAATAACAAACATGGCTGCTTATTTGCAAAGAAGAGGGGAAAAAAAACAATATAAAAGACTGAGAAAGAGCATGGATTTTGACAGAATGAACAGTTGAATGAATGACAGTCAAAGCACCAAACTATTACTTATCTCAAGTGAAAGAAGTTATTTATTTTGTTCTGAATGTTACAAGAATTTTGGATAGGAGATACATTATCTTGCATTTGAGAAACACATACTACAATTTAGCATCTTAAATTAGGATGGAGGATTTTTACGCTCTATTGTGCAGTTTCGGTTGCTTCTGGAGTCTAACAGAATGTGGAAGAGCTGGTCAGGTAACTCATTACATTTTAGATTTAAAGGTGCACTATGTAATTTTGTGGTTGTGGGTCCATCACCTGTTTGTTTCTATAGACATGTGCACTGTGGAATATTCCACACAGTGACATTAAACAGCTCTCTCTTACATGTATTCAATTATAGGTGCTTTTATAGCTCAAAAATAACTACAGAAACAAGAGTTCTAACTGTGAGTGGGGTTGCCTCTCCACAGATCTGACCTGTAATTTGATCTAGGTTAGTCTCCATGCAGATAGAAAGGTAGGTTTAATACCATACTGTGAAACATTCCAGAAAAAGCAGTAACATCTCCATTGAGACAAGCATTTGACAGACCATATGAAAATACAGCACATTGCAGCAGTTTTGAAGTTCTTTCTGCTTTTATTTGCTTTTATTTGCTTGTGCTAAAATGTGGGTCTATCTATGCAATCCTTTTGAGTTGCTAGGTGTGTTCAGGCCAGTGCAATCACGTGTGTCTTTTATAAATGAGCAGTATGTCACTTGGCCTTTATGCTAATGACGCCTCTGCAATTCACTCCTGTGGATGATAAGTGAACCAACAAAACTGCTATTTCATTTATTGGAGAAAGGAGCGCGATATATGGGATATGCAAAGGGCTGCTATTTAATCATGCTGATGTTAATTTGGTGTGCACTCTGAATTCCATCACAGCGTTTGAGACATGTCAGTTTCACCCTTTTCATTTTCACCTCCTGTCCTACATCTTGGGCTGGGATACAATGACATACAGCAGTTTAACTAATAGCGATGGGTCCTGCAAGTCTTACATCATTATCTCATCTTTTTTTTTTTTTTTTTTTCCATATTTCCTTTCTGAGGTCACATGGCCAGTAAAAGCTGACAGCTAATTTGTTATGTCCTGGTCCATGAGAGGAACTAGACACACTGAAAGGTGAACACATCTTAAAGGTCCAGTATTACGCAAAATTGACTCTTGTGATCTTTAAGCCATGTTATGTATATTTATCTTATTATTAGTCTGTCTACATCTTCAATGCTCAAAATACTCTCTTCCAATTTGTGATGTTATGAAATGGTAGTTTTCAATTTAACAGCTGCCTTTTATCTTTAGTTCAGTAGAGACAGGTAATTCTAGGCCTGAAATCAACAAAATAATTCTACTGACGGTATATAGAGTTTAAAAAAACAGTGGAGCACTTCCTGTATTACTGCATGACATGACAAGACAAAACAGTGCTTTTTGTTTGAGAGAAGAAATATGCAGGGTTTGTGTGTTAAACATGTCTGAATGAAACAACACTCAACAACGGAGATAAGAAAATAGCGTAATATGGACCCTTTAATGTAGTGTATGTGTCAGAATGTGTCATGTGTTGAATAAAATAAATGATGGTTCCATGTTTTGCCATTTCACTCTGCTGGATCTAATATGTTAATCTTCCTATGGGGGCTTTAAATTATAATTACACAATCGTTCATTTATTAACCTCAAGGTGACTCAATATGCATACTGGATTTCTGTAGTATTCAGCCTTGCTAGACAGATATTGGCCCAGTGCTTGCAACTGAAGGAGTATATGTATGGTTTCAATACTCTTTTGAAGAAGTGTCTGGGGTGGGGGAAGTCTGTGCATCTTAGGCCTTGTCCCAATTATGCTTTAGAACAGGGGTGCATAATTATTTTTTCCATGCAGAAAATATTGTGGAGGGCCGGGCCAAAATGTGTAACTCAATTCTGAATAATATTTATTGTATTTCTTTATAAAAAGCAGTAAATAGCTTTGTTTTGACCATCTAGTAAGATTGGTACGAGTACATATTATGACTATGCAATGAAAATGTGAGGTTGTCTTACAAAAATGTCAATATAAAACACCTCTAAAAGAACAGCAATACAGCTTTAGTCCATGTATGAGGTAAAATTATAAATATGTTTATTTTGTAATTCCAAATGATCTTAAACGGGCCAGTCAGAGTCAACCAAAGGTCTGAATGTGGTCCGGGAGCCAGAGGTGGGACCAAGTCATCGTTTTGCAAGTCTCAAGTAAGTCTCAAGTCTTTAACCTCAAGTCTGAGTCAAGTCCCAAGTCAAATACAAGCAAGTCCAAACCAAGTCTCAAGTCACTGGCCCATAAGTCCAAGTAAAGTCCAAGTCATCTGCTTTGAGCCTCAAGTTACTTCAAGTCTTTAAACCAAACTACCAAATAGAGCTTTGCTTATTGCAATTTTATAACTTTTAAGATAAACTGTACTTATAAAGTCACAGTATATTTATATATGAGTATTTATAGAGAATATAAGAGTTGTAGAAATGATAATTTTTCCTTTTTAAATGTCTTGACAAAATCTTAGAGTGAATTATTATGGTCAGAATAGAAAGAAATCAGATTTAAAAGTGCAAGTGACAAGCCTCAAGTCTGAGTCAAGTCCCAAGTCTTAGTCCATTTTATCAAGTCAAGTCCTAAAAATAGTCCTAACTCAAGTCTGACTAGAGTCCAAGTCACGACTTGTAAGTCCCCACCTCTGCTGTGAGCTGTATAATGCCCAGGTCTGCTTTAGAAGAATGTGTGAATATGAATAAACTAAACTGAAAACACCTTGAACAAAATATAAATTTGATTGTCACGGTGATAGAGAAATGGCGAAGAGTTTGTTTTGTCATTTGTAGTTTTACTTGAAAAGGTCCCCTAAACTGAAAAAGTGTTTTGACTAAAGTACATAATATTTGAGAATGAGGTGTGACAAACTGAAGAAACGACTGAGTAAGGACTATTTTTCTAATGGGGGTAAACATTACACTAACTATAACACTGACAGGGTTTGTGTTGATGTGTCAGTTACTGCCGAGGGCTAAATGAATTGGAGAAGTTCAAAGCGCCTGTCGTAGCTTTCTGTCAAGCATCTTTCAAAACAAGGCCTCGAAACATGGCAAAGATATGACATGACTGAACCAGCCAATTGATACTTTTAGCATCTGAAAACACATGCATCGGGTCCCTGTAGTATTACTACATGACAGACTGTTTATAAATCATCTATTGTCTTATACTAAAGGGTGATTGCATACATATTTTGACATATAGTACACATATAGTATCCTT